ATTGGAATAATCTCTACAAGAGATTTTTAATTCCATGTATCCCCTATTCCCCCTAAAGAAATAAAGTGCGAGAGAAAAATATAGATCCGAAAGTCGCAGAATCGGGAATCGAACCCGAGACCTTTCGCTTGCCGGGCGACTGCTCTTCCAACTGAGCTATTCAGATCCTTTCGATTCTATACTTTTCTCTGTTATATATATTAATGTTGGTAAATAAACGCCTTTAAGCCAGCGTGTATAAATTAAGAGTTTAACTAGGCTCTGTAATATATAAATATAAATTTAACATATATAAGATAGGCAATAAGAGCCAAATCGCGGATGACAGTGCGTTATTCTAAACGAAACTAAATTTTTTCGTTAGAATTAAATACCTGTGCACAAGGCACCAAATTTTTACTTGGACACGGCCAAGATATAAAATTGGAATAATCTCTACAAGAGATTTTTAATTCCATGTATCCCCTATTCCCCCTAAAGAAATAAAGTGCGAGAGAAAATATCTTATATATGTTAAATTTATATTTATATATTACAGAGCCTAGTTAAACTCTTAATTTATACACGCTGGCTTAAAGGCGTTTATTTACCAACATTAATATATATAACAGAGAAAAGTATAGAATCGAAAGGATCTGAATAGCTCAGTTGGAAGAGCAGTCGCCCGGCAAGCGAAAGGTCTCGGGTTCGATTCCCGATTCTGCGACTTTCGGATCTATATTTTTCTCTCGCACTTTATTTCTTTAGGGGGAATAGGGGATACATGGAATTAAAAATCTCTTGTAGAGATTATTCCAATTTTATATCTTGGCCGTGTCCAAGTAAAAATTTGGTGCCTTGTGCACAGGTATTTAATTCTAACGAAAAAATTTAGTTTCGTTTAGAATAACGCACTGTCATCCGCGATTTGGCTCTTATTGCCTATCTTATATATGTTAAATTTATATTTATATATTACAGAGCCTAGTTAAACTCTTAATTTATACACGTTGGCTTAAAGGCGTTTATTTACCAACATTAATATATATAACAGAGAAAAGTATAGAATCGAAAGGATCTGAATAGCTCAGTTGGAAGAGCAGTCGCCCGGCAAGCGAAAGGTCTCGGGTTCGATTCCCGATTCTGCGACTTTCGGATCTATATTTTTCTCTCGCACTTTATTTCTTTAGGGGGAATAGGGGATACATGGAATTAAAAATCTCTTGTAGAGATTATTCCAATTTTATATCTTGGCCGTGTCCAAGTAAAAATTTGGTGCCTTGTGCACAGGTATTTAATTCTAACGAAAAAATTTAGTTTCGTTTAGAATAACGCACTGTCATCCGCGATTTGGCTCTTATTGCCTATCTTATATATGTTAAATTTATATTTATATATTACAGAGCCTAGTTAAACTCTTAATTTATACACGCTGGCTTAAAGGCGTTTATTTACCAACATTAATATATATAACAGAGAAAAGTATAGAATCGAAAGGATCTGAATAGCTCAGTTGGAAGAGCAGTCGCCCGGCAAGCGAAAGGTCTCGGGTTCGATTCCCGATTCTGCGACTTTCGGATCTATATTTTTCTCTCGCACTTTATTTCTTTAGGGGGAATAGGGGATACATGGAATTAAAAATCTCTTGTAGAGATTATTCCAATTTTATATCTTGGCCGTGTCCAAGTAAAAATTTGGTGCCTTGTGCACAGGTATTTAATTCTAACGAAAAAATTTAGTTTCGTTTAGAATAACGCACTGTCATCCGCGATTTGGCTCTTATTGCCTATCTTATATATGTTAAATTTATATTTATATATTACAGAGCCTAGTTAAACTCTTAATTTATACACGCTGGCTTAAAGGCGTTTATTTACCAACATTAATATATATAACAGAGAAAAGTATAGAATCGAAAGGATCTGAATAGCTCAGTTGGAAGAGCAGTCGCCCGGCAAGCGAAAGGTCTCGGGTTCGATTCCCGATTCTGCGACTTTCGGATCTATATTTTTCTCTCGCACTTTATTTCTTTAGGGGGAATAGGAGATACATGGAATTAAAAATCTCTTGTAGAGATTATTCCAATTTTATATCTTGGCCGTGTCCAAGTAAAAATTTGGTGCCTTGTGCACAGGTATTTAATTCTAACGAAAAAATTTAGTTTCGTTTAGAATAACGCACTGTCATCCGCGATTTGGCTCTTATTGCCTATCTTATATATGTTAAATTTATATTTATATATTACAGAGCCTAGTTAAACTCTTAATTTATACACGCTGGCTTAAAGGCGTTTATTTACCAACATTAATATATATAACAGAGAAAAGTATAGAATCGAAAGGATCTGAATAGCTCAGTTGGAAGAGCAGTCGCCCGGCAAGCGAAAGGTCTCGGGTTCGATTCCCGATTCTGCGACTTTCGGATCTATATTTTTCTCTCGCACTTTATTTCTTTAGGGGGAATAGGGGATACATGGAATTAAAAATCTCTTGTAGAGATTATTCCAATTTTATATCTTGGCCGTGTCCAAGTAAAAATTTGGTGCCTTGTGCACAGGTATTTAATTCTAACGAAAAAATTTAGTTTCGTTTAGAATAACGCACTGTCATCCGCGATTTGGCTCTTATTGCCTATCTTATATATGTTAAATTTATAGTTATTTTTTAATTATCACTGGCGACTTCAATTGATTAAATTTGTTAATAGATTTTTAATGTTAAAAATATTTCTCACCTATGAATTTGTCTACTAAATAAAGATACGTATAATATAACAATTTTTATTTATAAAAAATAATAAAATATCTACAAAAATATGTTATAAAATTAAAAATGCCTATATTTATAGAAAAAGCTTATATTTTAAAATATTAAAAAATTTAAATCACATATCAAATATATACAAAAATTCTTTATAATTGTAGAAATAAATAAAAATAAATAAAAAATTATTAAAATAGTTAAAAAATTATCTCTTTAAAAAATAGTTAAAAAATTATTATCTTTAAATCATCTAATTTTGTAGTTGATTATACAATCAATTTCTAGTCAATTCTAAATAAATTATGGTGATATAGTTTAAAAGAAAGATATGCAATTTTTAATCGCATAAAATGAGTTTCAAAAATAAAATTGAACTTGGCATATCCAGAAATGTATCATTTTCGTAATATCTTATTTTTTAATATATCAGCCCGGAAAGCAAAATGCGTGCAAATTGTTAGCAGATTGGCGACAAATTTCTACAAAAGTTGCTAACAGGTCAGCATCTGTTATTTCCGCAATTTGTTTACGATTTACTAGCAGAACCTGCTTACAGAATCTGACAGCAGATTGACGACAGAAACTGATAAAAATCTTGAAATCAAATTGTGTGCGCACAGATCCTGTTCGCGGTTTCTGCTGACAATCTGACCTAAAGTCATGTTAGATTCTGTCGTCAATCTGCTGTCAGATTCTGTGAGCATAGTTCTGCTCCAGTTTTGTTGATTATATCAGGAATAATTACTTCTGCAACAAATCTGAAACCTTTTTTATGACAACATTTGATATCAAACACTTGGTATCTGATATTGGCAGACTTTGCTTTCTGGGAGTATAATAATGCATATGTTGTTTTTTGATTTATTGTAAAAATTTAATTATATGGAATATTTATTTTTTTGTAATGAAATATTTTTTTATTTAAGTTGACAAATCAAATTTCCTTATGGTAAAGGAGTGTATTTTATTAAGTGTATTATATGTATATAATGTAAACAAAATATATATTGTTTTATATATATAGTTTTTGATTTTTATAATATCTGGATTGGCTAATATTTTTAAATTAATTTTTAATTAATTATTGCGAAAATCACAAAATAATAGAGTACATTTCTACTCAGTTTAATCCACTCTATCTAAACACAAATGCGACAATTATTATTGGACGTTCTATATATATATACAGGGTAGGCCATTTTAATCTTTCCACTAAAATTTCTCAAAATCCAAAAATTTAAGACAAAAATGTTTCAGATAAAAGTTGTATGGTTTCAAGGGGGACATGAGATGGTGTCATTGATTTGACCTTGAATAGCCATTTGAAGGTTACGTAAAGGTCAACTTCAATTTCTTAAATGGAACACTATATTTTTTCTTGCATACTTTTGTAGCTGACTTCGAGATCTTTCCAAAACACTACAATAAAATATTTTTTCATGAAGTATTTTTCGAGTTATTAAGGCTGCAAATTTGCAGTATTTTGACATAAAATACAAAATATCTTGGGAAATACTCATTTTTCGATTATCATACCAATACTTTTATGCACAGAATAATGAGACGAATCAATTGGTGTAAAGAAAACACATAGTTGTCTTAAAGAAAAATTATCTAACTGCTTATTGCAATTTTCATATTTTTTTTAAAGGTAACTATGTGTTTTCTTTACATCAACTGATTTATCTCATTATTCTGTGCATAAAAGTATTAAGGTATGATAATCGAAAAATGAATATTTCCCAAGATATTTTGTATTTTATGTCAAAATACTGCAAATTTGCAGCCTTAATAACTCGAAAAATACTTCATGAAAAAATATTTTATTGTAGTGTTTTGGAAAGATCTCGAAGTCAGCTACAAAAGTATGCAAGAAAAAATATAGTGTTCCATTTAAGAAATTGAAGTTGACCTTCACGTAACCTTCAAATGGCTATTCAAGGTCAAATCAATGACACCATCTCATGTCCCCCTTGAAACCATACAACTTTTATCTGAAACATTTTTGTCTTAAATTTTTGGATTTTGAGAAATTTTAGTGGAAAGATTAAAATGGCCTACCCTGTGTATATATATATATATATATATATATATATATATATTTATATATGTATATATAAAACACAAAAGGAAATAAAATTCTTATTGTTAATGTATATGTACATATATTAAAGAGAACTATTAAATTATTTCTATTTATTCTATTTATTCTAAGAGAAATTAAATTATTTTAATTAAAAAAGATGCATAAATTCTGACCTTTGTAATGGTATGAAATTGCGCACGAGAAGCGCAACAATTCGGTAAATTTTGAAAGGCTGTAATAATTTTTGAGACGATCGTTTCCAATTGCGAAAGAGGAACAGGTTTTCCTCCTGGAAAGTAAAATCTAAAACAAAAAGATAGTGCTATTTTAAAATTACACTATTAAAGCTCCTGGATCCTAGAGTTCCTCGAGTAAGAGTTAAGACAACAGGGGGTCGATTCCTGATTGGTTTCGTCAGTTACAGCCAAGGAGTGAGTAAGAAAGAGACAAAAATAAACAAAAGAAAAAGACAAAGTTATTCGAGACATGCGGTAGTGATGTAATGATATTAGTATATAATGTATGTATACGATATCATTTGGCTATTAATGGCGGATTGTTTTAACTCTTACTAGAGGATACTCTACTGGATCCTCGCCACGGCCATGTTAAATTGTGACGTTAGAGGCGAGAAAGCACACGCTGAATATTCTTAAGGGGATCCTAAACGCCGTCCTGTTTTATCGATAAAACTTCATTTTTGTGTACTCTTCTCTTTTTATTGATTGAATAGAGTAATAAATGCTTTTCCACGATTAAAGTACATATAGAAACAAAGTGCGAACTTACCGATTTTATTAAGGTAGTAGATATTAAACTGACTACACTGGCTGTCTATTAGATTTGTTAAACTATATTTATTGACGTTTCGACTATACGGGCTGTGGTCCTTTTCAAAATGATTCTATTGTAATTTTGAAAAGGACCACAGCCCGTATGGTCGAAACGTCAATAAATATAGTTTAACAAATCTAATAGACAGCCAGTGTAGTCAGTTTAATATCTACTACCTTAGTATTTCATTCCTGGCAAACGAAATTTAATATTTTATCGTTACCGATTTTATGTTTAAAAAAATTACAAAAAAATTTTTTTTAATTAAGAAATTAAAAATTTTTTGTTTTTAATATAAAATCGGTAAGTTCGCGCTTTGTTTCTATATGTACTTTAATCGTGGAAAAGCATTTATTATTCTATTGAACCAATAAAAAGAAAAGGGTGCATAAAAATAATGTTTTATCGATCAAACAGGATGGCATTTAGGATTATTATGTCATTTTCAAATGAAAAGATTTTGATAAAACATTTTTTGAGATTGCCTTAGCATACTTTTAAAATATCTCGAAAACTATTCTTTTTCCTTTGACAATCAATCAACAACTGTAAAATGATCATGATATCAGACTTTGTCATGCGGAATGACTGCACATGTGCAAAAACCAGACGGACTGAGCCTCAGTCATTTTACAGCTGTTGAATGATTATGAAGGGAAAAGAATAGTTTTCGAAGTATTTTAAAAGTGCAAAGCTATCTGAAGTGCTGTGTTTCATCGAAATATGTTTTTATTTTTAAATGGCATCTAAGAATTTTCAGCGTGTGTTTTCTTGCCTCTGACGTCACAATTCCAACATGGTCGGCGAGCCAGAAGCCTTAAATGGATATTTATACTATTTATAATCTGATTAGCTTGTGCACAAAATATTGGCAAGAATAGATCTTGTCAATATTTTCTGGAATACATATTTGTATACGAACCTCGGTATATAAACGGTCTTATTAGCTTTCACCTGTCTTTGCAAAGTTGTATGTGGCGGCAAACTCTTTTGTTGAGTTTTCTCTTTCGTATAAATCTAGAAAAAAGATATTTGAGAAATTTTTAAAAAATCATTTTATTTAAGAAAGAAATATACATTTATCTATAAAAAATGCATTATTACGTCAATGAATGAAGTTTATCATGTTAAAAATTGCAATTTTGTATTTCGCGAATTTATTGTAACTTGTTTGAACTTATTTGATCAAAAAATATACTGATTACGTCGCATCATAAGAAAATTTCAAAGAGAGATGATTAACACATCTCTCATGTAGTGAATTACATCATCAGTTTTTATAGGACTGCTCTTATTCGATTTACATAACACTTACATGTTTGCATGAGAAGCCTTTACACTGCTAAATATCGATAAGTAAATTTCATGTTAAAAAAACAATATGTATACATATTTTACAAAAAATTAATTTTTATTTTTAAATCTTTGTTCTATATTACGTATTTAAAATAATTTTTCTCAAAACCATATAATTAATTTCGTATTACGTTTTATATATGTATACTTGAAAGTTTTATACTGTATTAGTCAATTTTTAATAAATAAAAATATTAAAAAATTATATGTATTGTTTTTCACGTCTTGTCTATAACTTTTGTTTAAAATATTTTTTTATAAAATTTATATTTTTCAAGATATTTCACTGTTCCAGAATTTTTTATACAACCTGAATATATTATATATAAAGTGCGTCCTGAAATTTACAAATACAAATAGCAAGAAAGTTCTTGAAAAAACAAAAAATATTTGTCATTTTTTATTCCACAGTAGTTTTTGAAATAAAAATATTTAAAACTGATCAATCGATTACGATTAAACAAATGCCCGAAGCACGTAAAGTGTGCGATGCGCAACTCACTGACAAGTGTCTGTTTAATCGTAATCTGTAATTGGCTAGTTTTACATTTTTTACCTCAAAAACTATTGTTTATAGAATGAAAAATGGGAAATATTTTTTTAATTAATTTTATAGAGAACTTTCTTGCTAATAATTTGTAACTTTCGGGACGTCTTATATAAATTATTATACATATATGTATATGAAATATATGATTTACCTGAGCTTTGTTTTGCACCTCATGACCACTTCTCCATGTATTAATGGCTGGTTGTCGTGGACCACGCTTGTCCAATAGTAGCTCACTCGGACATTTTTCAAAAATAAGTACACGTTCTGCTACAGAACCTCTGGTAAGGAACGGTCTGACGGGATTGTTGCCTGTTCCGCCAGTTGCTGCGGCCGCTCTTATGTGTTGCTTTTGCTGATTAGTCAATTCTGGATGAGGTACAGTCTGTTCTAGGCGAGATCGCGTTGGAGAAATCCTCGGCCCCCATCTGGATGCCACTACATCCTTTTCAGCATCTTTAACATCTTTATCTTTTCGCATCTCTATCTCGAATTTTGTTCTTGTGTTAGAAACCAATTGTTCCGTAGTGGAATGAGATGGATGGCTGGAGGCTCGCTGTTCTTCGAGCCGTTGTTGAGTAGGCGAATTCTGTTGAGCTGCCTTATATCTAATCTTAGCATAGTCTACCACTGACATAGCGGACAAATCATCTTTGTTAAGCGATTTTGACTCGTTGATTAATGGGATATGACTAGTGGTGACAACAGCAGCAACATTGTCGATATTGGCCGCAGTAGCTGTTGAACTAGATGTTGTCAAGCTAGACGCTGCTGAATTGGGTACTGCTGAACCAGCTCCATGATGGCTTCCGATAATAATTTGTTTAATAGGTTCAATTTTTGGTTTTTCCCGCGTAATAGCCGGCTTTGTGCGTTTAGACATCATCGTCCTTTCTGATTCTTCAGTAATGACGGCGCCTGTTTTTAAAGCGTTTATTAACCTTTCCTCTTCCCGTGCAACTTCATCGAAGTACGTACATCGCGAATCTGTTTCTATCACGATTGGTCTTTTCTCCTCTTTCGCTGGTAATATTTTCTCAATATTTTCCTTTAGTTGGGATGGTTTGGTTGATATATCTACGATTCTTCTGGCATCATTTAACTTATTTTTTAATGGCCATGTTGTCAAACCCGAACTTTTCGAGTGTATCGAATCAGTATTTAATGAAGAACTAGTGGGCGATGAGGCAATTAATATACTGGCGGGCCTCTTCTGCTGTGTCGCTTTTTTGGAAGATGTCAGATCGACTGGGAAAGTAGTTTCAATTGTCTCTAGAAAAACTTCGCAGTGATGAGAGCCGAGAGTTTTTGTAAAAATTTGAGGTTTTACTATTTGCGATGGTTTATTCAAAAACGGTGAAGATAACAAGACGTTTGTTAATTTCTTCGAGTTATCAGTTATATTATTTTTCGTGGAAGTTGCTGTCGTCTGTTGTTGTTGCACAGAATTTTTCTCGAACTTTTGTAATGCGAATTGTATGGAAGACGGTAATGACTTCGACGACGATTTCTGCTTGGAAGCGGCTATCCTAGCTTTATCCTCTACTACAAAATTATTGACTAGTTTTTCGAGGTTTCCATTGTCCAAATTTGGCGTTTGAGTTAATATATCTTCCGTGGTCGAGGAAGAACGTTCAAGTAATGGCGCTGACAACGTTTTACCGCTAACATTATTCTCAATAGTTGATAATTTGCAAGGTGTTAATGCGCTACCAAACTTATCAACAGCGATCTCGTTACTGTGACAAGTTAAGATCTCCGTAGGCGCTAACCCACGACTCTTCCACGTCTGGTAAATCGCTTCTGCATGATCACTGATCTGTTTAGCGATAGCGGCGATATCCTCTTCACCAGAAGGGGTCGTATCCGCAGGGAATTTTCGACGAAGATCATGCTTGGCTGTGGCAGCCATTTCATGGGAACGCTGTTGTTTACGCAATTGCGGATGATGATCGAATAGAAAATTTATTGCCTGAATACTAAATTCGGCAGACTGGTCTAATACCAATTCGACTAATTCAGGACTCTCGTGAACCGACACGATATTAATTGGGATCGCGTAACCAAAGTGGATTGTTTGACAGTCCACTCGATCGTGTTTCGAGCGCGACTCGTTCACTAAACAGGCATTTAAATCTGGACAGTGCACCGTTCTGCTCGGACGTGGGTCGACAATCGCTGGTATAAAGAGATCGCGTCGGGTCGCGTAGACCCGGCAACCCCACGACAATGATGATGATCGACACTGTTCTGCTGTATCAGCTAACAGCAACGAAGATGTCCTTACTGATTGTTGAGGTGTCACTGCTATTACTGGCATATCTCAGGCCGGTTGGCCTAAACTTCCCGTTTTCTTTAATTGCCAAGTTATTCTATAATTTTCTTTCATATAATGCGTCATCACTTCTTTGTTTCACTTCTTTTCCCAACTTTGCTTTGAAGAGTGTCTTCTTTTTTTTCTTGTCACCGTATGTAATTATTAATATTATTATTTAAAAATTATTAATATAGTTTGACAGTCAATAACATGATTGAACGATGCCTAAATTCGAATTGTAGTTGGCGGATGAGTAATCTGAAAAAAATATAAATAAAAATCTATTAACAAGAAGAAAATTTCTCTTGAAAATTAAAATCAGAATTATATGTATATTTGAAATTGATATATTTATTGCAATATGCAGGTTTTGTTTACAAAATACTTAAACAAACTTCTAGGACACATTTCTCATATCAAAATAAAGACAAAAGTTTATATATACTTATAGTAAAAAATAAAAATAGTTGTGAAGTTATAGTAAAACAATGTTTTATATTAACATTATTATTAAATAATTATTATATATATATTTAATTATCATTATAAATAATTATATTATTAACATTATTATTAAATAATTATAAGCAAACATTTAAGATATTTTTAGACTGAATTCACACCTTGACAGAAAAGCAGAAGCCAATCAGAATCGCGCTGATAGTAAGCTTACTAGGTAGTAAACTTACTAACCAACGCGAGTTCTGATTGGCTTCTATTTGTCTGTTTTTGCTTTTCTGTCAAGGTGTGAATTCGGCCTTAGATAAAACGATATTTCAATAAATCAACACTACAAAATCCTTTGGCCTTAGAACATATAGATATGGAAGGGGAATAGGAGCGCAAAACTGTGTCCAAGTTGGGTGCGAGAGAGAACCACGTTTTTAAGGAAAGAGAAGGGTAGATTGTTACCTCCGTTCGCAATGCGCAAACGCGAATTAGCGAAAGCACCAATTACATTTCCAGTTTCAAACGGCGCGGTGAGCGTGACGTCACCGTGACGTCATCTACGTTTGCGCATTGCGGATAAAGGTTAAAAGCTATCTTTCTCTCTTGCACCAAATTTAGACATAGATTTTTAGCACGACAGACAAAGCAATTCCCTCTCCAGGTATATATGCTCTAAGCCTTTGGCACACTTGTAAAATTGTCCGAAAACTAACCTATTCCCTTTATAATCAATCAACAACTGTAAAATGATTGAAATATATATATGTCTTTTATTTTATTCTTAGAATAGAAATGAAAGGTTTTCATTGGTTGAATTCCTTATGCTTTATGCATAACGTATAATGCATTTTTTATAATCTACTTTATTTAAATTAAAGAAAGGGTCGTTTCTCAAATAAAAATAACAATAAATATATTATTCCTAAATAATTTCTAATCGATTCTATTCATAATTAATAGTAAATGTTACTATCTATTAACTTGACGCTCGATAAAATTTTGTTATTATACAAATTTATTTGAATTAAAAAGGGACTTTTGCCACATAAAAATAACAATGAATATGTTATTCTCAAATTATTTCTAATCGATTTCATTTATAATTAATGTTAAATATTATTACTATCTGCTAACTTGACGGTTGATAAAATTTTGTTATTAACAAAAAACTATTATTTCCTAAATGTTAAAATAGTTTTTCTAAACTTCGCCAAACGATTCCCTAATTATATAATATAAAATAATTAAAAAATATTCAATTCCTCTGCTAACTCTACGGCAATGTCAACTTTTGCTAACTCTGCTTTTGTAGAGAGTTAGATTAGGTTAGGTTGTGTGACATTTATAGTTTTACCAACGTCGAAAAATAAATTTATCTATTTATTTGATCGTACACCTATAGGTTCTGTTATATTTAGTACTAATAAGAGAGATGAGATTATCGTAGAAAATTATATATCTTTACACGTAAGTAAAATATATTCAATAAAATATTAAATATAATGTTAAATCTTAATTAGTTTATTAGTTTATTAATATAAAATAATCTAAGATTTTTTATTTTTGTATATTAGATTGTACATACAATAGAGAAAAGTAAAAAGATTTATTTTGGCTAAGAACTTGGTTGACTGCAATTATAAGTTAATTTTTTTATAGCTGAATTTCTTACATTAATTCACTTTCTTTTTAATATTTAAATATTATCATATTTATTTTATTTGTTTTATTCAAAAAAACGCTATATATAATATTTAATATATATATATATATATATATATATATATATTAATTCCAAAAATTATTAATATTAATATACTAACATTAATTAAATTATTAATATTAATTATTAATATTAATATTATATATTGAAATATGTTTCTATAATGTTACAATTTGGCAAGATTTGCAACTTATTTGATAAATATTATATTCTATTAATTTGATATTTATTATTTATTTTTAAACTGCTTCATATTATGATACAGAAGTTGCAAAATCTGCAAATAAACGTTTTATATAATATAGAAACATAATTTTCGATAATTTTTAAGTTGAAAAATAGTTTAATTAAATATATATTAATTTCAATCTTAAACGACATAACTGTCTATAGTCGTCTTTCCGACATGTCATTTTCTTACATAGGGCAGACCTATGCGCATCAACTTCTGCGCAGCAAATGCTTTCCATTTATCGTATTGGCGCTGCTGACTTGAGCTAACTCAAGTAGACACAAATCGTCATAAATGGAAAACATCCATAATTATAACTTACTAAATATTACGAGGCCATGTGAAACGAGCAATAAAAAATTATTTTAAACTTGGAAAAATTTTAATTTAAAAAAACTAATTACAATATAAACTCTAATATTCTTAATTACAAACGTTTCGAACTATACTTAGTCTTCCTTAGTGCGCAATAAAAAAATAATAAAAATAATAAAAAATAAAAAATATTCTAATAAAAATTCGCAATACAATAGTCAAAATAAATTAGATAATTATGTCAAAATTAAAAGGCGAAATACATTAATAATAAATTGAAATAATTACAAATAGTTCAACGCAAAAAATCCCAATTAGAAGCAAAAATCGAATTAAAATAATTTATCCGGCTAATCAATAAATTTTTTAATTATTAAAACCTCGGAGTGGCACTTAAACATTCGTCCAAACCAATCACTCATCGTTAGTCGGCGAAAGGCTATCAGTTTGGCAATGACCGTGTCCATCTCCTCCAAGTTATTTAATATTTGTTATTATAAACTGAATTTAAAAAGAAATTTTATATTATAAAATAGAAATCCACTTATGTATATGTAAAAATTAAAAATTAGTCACTTGTTGCTTACAATTGTTCCGAATAAATTGAGATGACAATGCCTCTAATTGTTGTTGAACTTAGTACTTGACTGATGTCTAGACATTTAAAAAGTTGAATAAATAGGTGTCAAGTCGCAAAACATAAACATTTTAATAAGTCTAAAAATTCGCTATTTCTTCTAGAATGTCAAAATAAGCGTTGTTGAGCAATTCGGTGTCTGTATTATTATTTATACCATGCTTTTGTTTCTTGATGTGTATCATCTCCGAGATAAGTTTTTTATAATAGTTAGATTCAATATCAAGTATTTTAACGTTATTCCAATCAAAAGCATGTTTTTTATCTACAATATGTTCAGAGACCACCGAATGCTTGGCAGAATCAAATTTAATGTTATTTATATGCTCCTTTAGTCTAGTACGTAATTTTCTTTTGGTTTGCCCAACATAAGAAACTTCACAGTCTTTACAATTAATTTTATAGACGACATTATTATTATTATTATACACGTTTTTGTCCTTGTGAACTCTAATGAATTTGTTAAGATTATTAAGACAACGGTAACCCACTCTAAAATCTGATTTCTTAATTGTCGATGCTACTGTTTCAGAAATGTTATTAATATAGGGGATAACAAAAAACTTCTTATTATTTTAAGAAAACATCCAATATAATTATCCAAAAGCAAGGTCCGTAGAAAAATGACGGGAGGGGAAGTAAGGTTATCGCACTCATATTTAAGCATTTGGGCCCCAAAATGGCGCCGCCAATCCAGCCACCGGACAGCTGTTCAACTACAGTTTTTTTCACTAACACCTCGTACGACACATACCGACATACAACACACATAACTTCGTGGCCCCAAAATGGCGGTTCATGCTAGGACCTTCCTTCCCCTCCCGTTGTTTATCTACGGACCTTGTTCAAAAGTAATAGATAAAAGTAACGTAGATTTACATGGACAGTCCTTCTATGACAAAACATTTAAAAAAAATAATAAAGTAGATAAAATTACCAAAAGAAAAAATAATAATGTATCAAAAAAAATAATAATAAATATAAATCCTAAATCACAAGAAGGCGTAAAGAGCCAAACGCGGATGTTGAAAATAAACCGTGCACAAGGCAACGTATTATTCTCGATGTACTAACCAAGACTTGAAAATTGAAATAATCTCTTACTTGAAATTTTAATTTGAAATCATCTCTTACTTGAGATTTAATTTCAAAAACCCCTAATCCCCTTACGAAAATAAATAAATGCAAGAGAAAAATATAGATCCGAAAGTCGCTGAATCGGGAAAATAATAATACTAAAGTAGATTCAGGACAAAATAATTATATGTCCAACGATAGCATAGATGACATGGAAACTGACAATCAAGTTAGAGAGGAACACTTTGTTATAAGTAAAGAATGTAGAATTAATAATAATAAAGACTGAATTGAATCAGCTAGGTCTATACAAAATTTAGATAGAATCTGATTCGAAATTTGGACCGCTATCTTGAACGTACTGCGTGATAGTCGCGTTTTATCGAGTGCTTCCGCGTGATAGCAAAATCAGCCTATTTATGGACTATTTATTCAGTTTTAATACTGGAAAACAATTCTCGCATTGAGTGCTTTATCTGGACAAGGAAATAGAGGCGGCCAACTACCCGAACATCTCAGGACGAGCTTTTCTGTTCGTGCGGCTTGCCGCGCACATCATCTCTTTCTTTGTCTTCCTCGTCGCCTCGCGCGGATACATTCCCACATACCCATTCACCCATTTCCTGTTCAACCCACGAAGAACAGGCGAGAACGAACATTTAAGAACAGTGAGTATATTTCACAAATATATTCATGATTGATATTAAGAAACCCAATGACATGGACATAGTTGAAGAAGAAGGAGGTCCTAACATCTTTACCACTAACTCCTTCGACAACATGAGCCTATCTGGGCCTATCATTTCTTCAGCTTTCGACTCGCTTCAACAAGAAGCAGGGGTCCCTATCACTAATAACCCCCAACATAAAGACAGCAGGAATCTCAAACGTCCCGTCTCTCCAGTCTCCCAGGATCACGGTCTGGAAACTTCCCCAAGAAGGAAGACAAGAGGCTCGGACACTATCGCAATCTTCCTCTATTTCCGGTTCTGTGTTATTTCTATTTCAGAATCAATTTTAAAGAACAGATACACAAAAGGTAACCATGGTCCATATGAGATTCACATTCAACGTATCTCAAACCCAAATTCTTCATTGCATCTCGGTGAGTAGAGTTTTAAAATACACTAATGCAGACATCTTAGAGATTAAAGCAGTAGGCTAGTCCGAAGTTTTGGCCTACTTTAATGACCGAGGAACGGCAAATCGAATAGTAGACCAACAGTGTCTCAAAAAGAAGATCTTATCTCATTCATATCACTTTTTCATACTTCACGTAAGGATATTATAAGAAGCATTTTCCTTGAGCTTTCCGAGAAAGAAATTCTGGAAAATATAATCAACCCCCTTAAAGTCTTCGCAGTCAAAAGACTTAACCGCAGAATTACCAGCCCTTCTCAAACAAATATATCAAGACAAAAGCAGTCAGATTCATCCGTCAAATCGTCCGGTTATAGCACGATGTCGAAGACGCTAAAGCCAAGTACCAGCGACCGCAGCAACACTGTTTTCCCCAAAAAACTTGCAACCGCCAGCAGCAGCAATATCGCAAAATAACTCGTCCGTCGTATCTTTCGATGTATGAAGATGAGATAGATGTCGCAATTTTGAAAACCACAAACAGTATCCTGCAAAGTATCCTCCCATATCAACACAAATAGAATACACTCCTACTTTCACCGTCGCCATCACATTTGAAGAACAAAAAATCTCGAAACAAGCAAACCTATTCTACGTCAAATATTAAATTACCCCATATATCTTGATAGTACAACTATGCTATTCTTGTTATAGATTCGGGCATATTAAAGCCTTATGCAGAAGCAAGCCTCGTTGTGTTCAGTGCGGAGAAACTTCACACAACATCGAGAGATGCCCTGCGGAGGAAGTGAGATGCACACATTGTGATGGAAACCACAGAGCGGACTCATATTCCTGCCTAGAATACCTTATAAACAGGGACATAAAGGAATACTCAGCCCTCAGGAATATCCCTTCCTTGGAATTCAGAATACATAAAGAAAATCATTTGGAATGCTAGAGGTATTAGAAACAAAAATGGAAAATTAGTCCAAATATTAGTGATTATGATATCGTATGCATAACAGAGACTAAATTAAAAACCCAAGACAGGTGTCGACTTCCAAGTTTCGTTATATACAGATAAGATGGCACGACATTGAGAGGAGAAAGATCTGGTGGAGTGATGATTCTTGTCAGGAATAACATCAAACATAAGATCATAAGTCCCAAGTATCGATTGTCTTGCGCGGAATGTGTGGGAATTAAAGTAGACAGTCAACGAGGAAAATACACAATTGCAGTACTATATAGAAGGCCGGGGATCAGAAAAGAGAGAGAATTGGAGAGAGTTCTTTCAACAATTTCCTCCAAATAAAACCATTGTTCTTGGAGATTTCAACGCACACAATACGTGTTGGAATTGCAAGAGCACAGATAGGAATGGAGAAAACTTGGCGAAGATTTGTATGGAACTTGACTTCTATCTGATCAACGATGATACGCTATCATGGAAGGAGACTCATCGAATCTTGATTTAATTTGGACTATTCCAGATATACGAGGGCGATCCGATAAGTACTTAGCCTACAAAAGAAAAACGAAAATTTTGGAAAAGTGGCGATTTATTTCTCAACATAGTCTCCTTTTAGTTCGATACACTTGACCCAGCGATGCTCCAACTTCTTTAACCCATCTAAAAAATACGTTTTCTCGAGGTCTGCAAAGTAGGCCTCCGTGGCGGCGATGACTCAAATCCTCATTCGACTCAAATTTCTGCCCGGCGAGTGACTTTTTCAAGTTTGGAAACAAAAAAAAGTCGCACGGGGCCAAATCTGGAGAATACGGTGGATGGGGCAGCAGTTCGTAGTGTAATTCGACCAATTTGGCCGTGGCGACGGCGGTTGCGCTTGTTGTCCGGAGTGAGCAAACGCGGCACTCATCGCGCCGACAGCTTTCTCATGCCCAAAATTTCATGCAGGATATGACCCACGCGGTCTTTTGAGATGCCTACTGTTTCAGCTATCTCGCGCACCTTCAATCGGCGGTCTGCCAATACGAGATCGTGAATTTTTGTCACGTTATCCTCCGTGGTAGCCATTTTCGGGGTACCTGGGCGTGCCTTATCAAAAACCGACGTGCGACCACGTTGAAACTCGTTAAACCAATTTTTGACGGTCGCCATCAAAGGAGAAGAGTCACCGTACAGAGCATCCAAGCGCTCTTTGATTTCGCTGCGTGATTTCCCTTCCAAAAACAAGAATCGAATCACCGACCGATATTGCTCTTTTTCCATTTTTCTAAAATCCGCGGACACGCCTGCTTCCACACGCGGTCAAAACAAAACTACGAGTCCGATTCGGCTGAAATTTTGACAGTAGCCGTCTACGAGAATGTATTGTACTACACGATAGTAAATCTCTCTTGCGATACTGGCACCATCGGGCGGTGAGGCTAAGTACTTATCGGACCACCCTCGTAGTTAGCTTAATACATTATGAACAAAATACGAAGTTATAGGGATCAGACCACTTTCCAATAAGTTTTTCCTTTGAAGACTACTATTTTAGGATATAAAAAAAACCAATAGCATATCAACAAGGAAAATAGTCTGAAAGGAGTACGTTTAAATAATGAAGGAGCGATGGGACGTATTAACTACAAAGAAATAAACAATGACCTGGAAGACTGCTTTATAAAGACCTAACCCAAGACATGAGAAGGGCAGTATGGCAAGCCTCGGGGAAGTCCATGGACACCTACACATATAATTTCCCGTATATTAGTAATCCGCGTTCAGGCGGTCTTTATAGAAGACAAAATAAAAGTAAAAATCCTGTAGAATGATGGAATAGTGAATGTGCAGTGCGAAACAGGTCTTCTCAGCTAAACATCTTTATGCAAACAGGCTCCATGGAGGATTTTATATCATACAAAAAGGCCAGAGCGCAAGCTACAAAAACAATAAATAATATTAAAAAAGAGCATTTTATACAGTTTATTGCTTCCATAAATAGATACACTAACATTAACTATGTATGGAAAAAATTAAGGTTTTAAAACGATCCTCCTGTAGAATACATTGGAATAAATGGCAAAACAATGATCGAACTCAAGTAATTATGAATACCATTAATAATATATCTCCACCATGGAAAATGGAACCTAGAATATTAGTCAAACCAAATTATGACAACGTCTATAATTATCTAAACAAACGCATAACATCCGAAGAAATAAAACGAGTAATGGACTGCGTAAGAGAAGATTCATCTCCTGAAATGGATGGCATTGAATATAGAATAATTCGATTGCTTCCTCTTACTACCAATCATCACGCGAATCTTCAACGGTATCTTTTGTGGCGGGCCTATGCCTGAAGTGTGGGAAGAATATCAGGTAATATTCATAGATAAAAAAAACAAAGATAAAGTAAGGCTAATATTTTTGTCCTCTTGCTTTGGTAAAATAATGGAACGAGTTGTAACGGAACGCTTGTACTGGTGGTCTGAAAATAAAAAAAACTGGACTCTAATCAGAATGATTTCAGACGTGGACGATCGTGCGGAGATAATCTTATAAAACTTACCTCTATTATTAGAAACAATTTCTTTAAAAATAAATACACGACTGCTACCTTCTTGGATGTTGCCTTTGTACGATAACGTACTGTATTCAGTCTTGATTAATAGTCCATAGCCGAGGAATGTCCTTATAGAATAGTGCAATTCATTGAAAAATGGATGTACAGCAGAAAATCTAAATTCATCGTAGATTCAAACTGAAATAGCTCGACTTTCAGGTAAAGGACTACCGCAGGGAGCAATAATGAGCCCATTACTATACGATCTCTACATTAATGGGCTTTCCGAGTCCCTTCCAGAGGAGGTCGGGCAGCTTTAATTTGCTGATGACTTGGTTATATATAGTGACGTCAAGAACAAGGAGGCCAGGGTACGACTATTAGAAAAAGCTTTAGTTGGATTGAGTCGGGGATTTTTTGCTCTTGGATTGGACCTCCAACCTACTAAATCAGTAGTGATTGATTTTAACAAGACAGGACACCTGGGTATCGATTCTGTAACTTTTTCTAAAGTGAAAACGTGAAAAGTGAAAAATTTCCGCACATCGATTTTATTTTAAAATCAATGTGTAATTGATAGAAATTTTTCACTTTTCACGTTTTTACTTTAGAAAAAGTTACAAAATCAATACTCTAGACAGAAACTTCAAAGTTCGCTTGAGAAGGGCGGTTTGTAAGGCTGAACCACATGTGAGATTTCTGGGCATTATCTTGGACATGCAGCTCAATTTCGACAAACAGTGCAACGCAATCAAGGATAAGGTAATTAAGGTTAACTCAATGTTGCAATTAACGGGGTGTCGCGGATTATGGAAGTTGGTACCGCTTTATTATTGTATAAGAGTCTGGTTAGATCCGTGATAGACTACGGATCCTATATTTAAACCCTGTTATCTAGAAATAACAGGACCAAATTAAAAAGATCGCAGTATGCAGGCATTAGAACAGCCTAGGGTATAAAAACTCTACACCGACAAACATCCTGTTGGTAGAATCTAAATTGACTCTATATATAGATATCTATCAGAGACAGAGCAAGTTTTTTGGCCAGAAATGCAATTACTAAAATCATTGTGTATGAAAACGTCGAACTAAGAGAAGCCGTTGCGGAGATGGTAATTCAGGAAGACATTTTTAGAATGAGACACCTAAGAAAACGAGTTATATTATCTCGGATGCGTGGAGAAGTTGTGTGGGCGGGGGGGGGGGGGGACTCCACTTGGAGCTCCACGACCGCCTAGGTAGTATAAAATTTTTGAGGCGAATTATTGGTCCCTCACAGGGGCTATTAACGTCGACTCGTTCAGTAACAATTTCAACAAATATAGTAGTTGCGATGAATTCTTAAAGGCATTAACAAACAAACACGAGTTATCGGGAGACGCAGTTATAATCTACATAGACGGATCTAAATCCAAGGACGGCGTTTCTAGCGGATGCGCTTTTTTCATTGAAAATCAAGAGATTGGTTATATGTTTGGTCTTAACACCTTAACGTCTATCTTTACAGTGGAAGCTTGCGCCATAACTAAGTCATTGAATTGCATGTACGAGGAGGCATGCTCGGAGGACATTATGATTCTTATGGACTCGCTTAGCATTATATGTAATTTAAAAAATGTAATCAGCGCCTATACTAACCTTTATGTCACGGAGATCAGACAATTTGTAGATAAACTCAATAACATGGCTACAAGAAAAGAGAGAAATATATAAAAAAATATAAAGTATTAGGCTCGTGTAACGTTACAGCAATATTGATAATAATCTTAAAATAAAATAAAATAAAAGCCAACTTACGAGCAATATTAGATGTCAACAAATAATTAAATTTATTAATAAAACATTAACTTGAGATTTTACAAATTTGAACTCATTATATTTATATAATTATGGAACATTTGTTTTTAGTAGATTTTTGTATAACTAATTCTTCGTTTGAAGGCGAGAAAATATTTTTTGTCCATCAAATCGAATTCCATGGTGATCAGTATATTCTCTTTCTATTAGATTATGATTTTCGGTTAAACTTATGTAAGAATAATTAAACAATGTTAAAACGATGTTAAAATTGTTTTTTTAAAAAAAGATTAAAAAAAAACTTATATTGTGCTTTGTGTATGGTAATGGTCTCAGTTTGTATTGCTTGTTACTTTTATCGTGTCTCAGATGTGACTGATGAGAAAGGGGAGAAAAGTAGTATTAGCATGAATTTCAGCACATAAAGGAATATACGGTATAACGAAATTGCGGATGGTCTAGCAAAAGAGGCAAGCGTCAGTCCACACACAGACCAACTTGAAATACCTATCACGGACCTCAGAGGATATTTTAGAAGAGACATGGATCAAAGAACGAATCAAGAAATAAAATATCAGTTTGAATTTAAGGGTAGACACTATTATAATAACCGATAAATAAAAACCTATACTATACTATTATAATAACTATTATAATAAGTTTTACAACATAGATTCCAGGAAACCATGGTTCGCGGGTATAAACGCGCATAAAAAAATCGTAACAACCATAAATAGAATTAGGGCAAATCACTATAATTTGAATGAATCTTTGAATAGAGTCGGGTACATAAATTCATCTAAGTGTGAATGCGGTTATTATCAGGAGGACATCAATCACCTACTGTTTCAATGTAATAAATATGATGATCTTAGACAAGAACTATACATAAATTTTAGAAAAATTGGGACATATGGTCCATGGTGTATATGAAATTGGCTACAACAGGAGGATATGAACATTCTCAAAATTGTAATGAACTTTATTTCAAAGACGGGTAAATAATATAAGATATATTAGTAAGTTTCTATCTTATCGTGCTTAATGCATACCTTTTTAACAGGGTCCAGAAGCTGTAAATTATAAAATTACGTTTTTATTTAAAAAAATAAAATAAATAAATAAAAAAATAAAAATAAATAAACAAATAATTAAAGAAAAAAAAACTTAAAAAAAACAGGGAGTATAGTATATGTGCAAGAATAGCCGTAAAAATTAGAAGCACGCTTCTCATCGGAAGTTCCTTAGGAAAAAAACATTAATTTTTGACTATACAAACTTAATTTATCTTTATTTTGACGTGAGGACTCGGTAAAAAATGTTTTATATATAACAATCTAAAATTATATAGAAATATAAAAAATTATACATATAATCGCAAAATTATATATGAAATATATGTTCATATATAATTATTTCATATATATGAAATATATGTTCATATATAATTAGATGAAAGTACTTTTTATATACAGAGTGTCCCAGAACTGGCGGAAAAATTTTTAATGGCAGATTCCTAGTATCATTTGGAGACGATTTTTCCTTAGTGAAAATGTCGAGGGGGAGCTATTATTTTTTAGCATTTCTTAATTTTTGTTATTATGTATCTTTATAACTATGCCTTATATTAAAATTCTATTAAAGTAAACTCTATCTAAAATTAACTGAAGAATGTAATTCTATTAATATTTTATTTCCACAAGGCTTAGTTTCTAAAACAGCCTTTATTTTCAATTGCTTATAATTTGAAAATTATTGGTGTCTCGACATTTTCGCTGAGGAAAAATCGTCTCTGAATGATACCAGGAATCTGCCATTAAAAACTTTTCCGCCAGTTCTGGGACACCCTGTATAATTAAATAAATTTATATACATATATAATAAATAAGTATTTCCTCATATACATATATAAATATATATGTGTTTCATATATATAATTTGACATGATTATATATGAACCTTTATAATTGATATATTATATAATTATCAAGTAAATAATAAGAATATTAAGTCGGCTCCTTAATTTTTAAAAACACGATCTACACTCCATTCCTCTCAGCCATAGAGCCACACGCGTTGTTATTGCGATAATTAAGAAAGAAAATTTGGAAACTAAAGAATTTGTATGCTATGGTTGGGATCTCATAAATTCCCCTTCAGAAAGTCAGCCGACTTTTGGACCAATATTTTTCTCGCCTATTTCTTTACAGGGAAAGTTAAGAGAGGAACAAGAAGAATTTCTGAGATCCCAACCATAGGATACAAATTCCTTAGTTTCCAAATTTTCTTTCTTAATTATCGCAATAACATCGCGTGTGGCTTTATGGCTGAGAGGAATGGAGTGTAGATTGTATAATTATCAAGGTTGATATTTTC